CGGAAGGACGTAATTCCCGTCCCTGCCCCGGTGCAACGTTGTGCAAGACACGGGGTAACGTGGGGCAATACAGCGGAAAACCGACTTGCATCCCTCGACGCTCTTTTCCGAATCATATAAGGATCATCGGGGGGGAGGAAACTTTAATTCGGGATCCCTAGCTCGGGACGGTGTCTCGTTTTCAGAGGAGAAACGTGCGGGGGTAAATTCAACCCCCTTTTCCTCGGGCAAAAATCGGGCTTCACTTCGAAATAAATCGTTATAATTGGCCCAGCGGAAATTAGATTTCACCGGGCGAATGCGGAAATCGGAATCTCCCGGCGCCGCGGCTTCTGCGCGGGGTCGTTAATCGAGGGATTAAAAAATAAAGGAGGGCGAGAAAAATCGACGCTTCCACCCCCCCGGTTATCCGAGAGAGAGGAGCTCCACGTCGAGCTCGTTTAAAGAGCGGAGGGAATATTTCGTTATTGGGGTATCTCGATCGGGGAAGTCGCGCCCTTTGACCGGGCTTCTTTTCCGGCGGCGGCAACGAATTAATTAATCGGCGGAAGTGAACGTTCCTTTGGCGGGTCGTAAGTGGCGGACAAATCCGGGACGGCCCCCCTCGGCTAAGGGTGGCGCGGGATAATTTAATGATAATCGAGCGGTGCATCGATTGATGGCTTTTCACGTGTGCCGCGCCAAGTGGGCGAAATTAAACCGCCAGATGGGCGGGCCCGACAAGGCGAATTGTCAATTATTTATCGGCCCGCTCTCGCGCCGTGATAAGCGGATCGCCCCGAAATATCCGCGAGGCCCGGTCCAAGCAGGGGTGCGACCCTGAAATCATCTGCAATCGCCTGTAATTATCGATATTTAACGTTTATTAATATTTCCCAGGCCTCTAGTTTATATCGCGGGGGGTGCGTTATCAGTAAGGCGCGTATTTTTTTTTTTTCCTAGATTCGACTCGACATCTGAGCCGGATCGCGCCGAGATATCCGCGAAACCTGGTGAAGGCAGGGGCGGCCGAGTAGCGACCCTGGAATCACCTGCGATCGCCCGTAATTAACGATCTTTAGGGTTTATTAATATTTCCCAGGCTCCGAGTTTACGTGGCAGGGGACGTGGCATCGGCGAGGCGGCATTTTTCTTCGAGACTCGGCTCGACTTCGGGGTCGGAGGGCGCCTAAGGGGCCATGACGAGGCACGGCCGTCACTTCCTGGCCATTACATTAGGGGTGGCCCGTCCTGGCGTTAAGTTGGGCGAGTCGGTGCCGGGGGACCGTAGAGGGGGATCGCAAAAACAATGGGAAAAAGATGGAATAAAACGAAAGGGGCGCGAGTCGTTACGCCCGGACCGGGAGGGACCGTGCCAAAGAGGCCACCCCCCGCGAGGGGGTTGTGCGATCTCGAACCTCGTCAAGCTGGGCCGCGACACGTTACGAGGGAATCGGGGTAACCTCTTTCCTCGGTCTTTGCTTCCCGCGAGCCAAATCCATGCCGGGGTCTTATCAACCCCGCGTACCGGACGAATTCATTCCGGCTGCGAGGCGAAGTCTCAACGCCGGGTTCCTCGGATGTCTGCCGTCCTGGAGGGTCTCTCCTCGACGCAGGGCATTCATCGGGACCCTTTTTCATCCAGGAAGAGAGGCACTCCGATGGCTCTCGCGACACTGATCACGGTGAATCACCGCATTTGTTCCCTCCGACCGGGACGGGCGATGATAACGAGTACCCCCGTGCAAATTGGCCCGCTTTGATAAAAGGTCTCCCGGGTCTTTAATTTCTCCGTTGCGCCTATGGAGCGGCTCCTTTCCGTCGGGCTTTAAAGCTCGGCCGCTTTCCTTCTCCCTTTTTTCCCGACGACGAGGAGGCGGAATCCCCGGATAACTCCCTACCTCCCGGGGAGCGTCACGTTCCGTTGCCTTCCTCGTAGATTTCTTTCCTGGGGCTCCGAGGGGGAGAGAAAGAGAGAGAAACGAGGGCGTCGATCGCCTCGGACTTTCCTTCTCGTCTTCCTAGCGCAATTCGTCCTAGGTGTCGTTCCATCCGTCCACCCTCGTCTCCTCGCGTATCCATCTTTCCCCCGACCTCGGGAAAATTATTCCCACGATCGTACGTTGCAATTTCTACCTCCCTCCCTCTCGGTTTTTGCAATACGGACGCGTCGGGGCGTATCTTGGATTCGCTCACTCGACCCGGGGATAAAGGACGCGCCCGAGCGAGAATTGTTTTCGCGATTCGGCCATCTTTCTATTTCTTCTTTCCTTCCCCTTCCCCTGCCCCCCCCCCACTCTCCTTCTCTCCCTTACCCCTCGGGAATCGATACGTTCCGAGGCACTTTTTTTCCATGATCGTCGACCCATCGACTCGGATCCTTCTCGGTGGCTCGTTATCGACGGCGACACCTTCTACTTCCCTCCACCCGTTTTTAACGGGGGAGGCAATTAACGCCGGATCAGGATATGTCGCGGGGGAGGAGGGCCGATTGCCTACGCCTTGTCCAGGTCTCGGTATGGAGATTTGGGAGGGTCCAGGAACGTGAGAAATTTCCCCGGTCGCGAGAAGTGGCCGGTTCTCTCGGCCACTTCTCGATAAGGGTAGAAAGGGGAGGCGAAAAAAGGGGAAAAACGATCGAGACCCGTCGCCGAGGTCGGAGCCATCGGTTTTGCGGTCCCGACGTTTTAGGAGGTCGCGGTCGTCCCGGTCGTTTTCTTCCCTTGGCAGATATTTCAAATGGCAGTGCCGTAAAACCGAGAGACCGAGCCCACTTGGACGCCCCCGCAGGCCGGAATGGGGTTCTTCTTCTTTCACCTCGTTTCCTTATGGCGAACTCGCTAAGGCCACTTAACGAGGCGTGCCTCGAATTCCTGTGTCAAAATTACCTCGAACCTTAGACGATGGACTAGTTTTTTTGTTTTTTTTTTCTCTCTGCGGGGGGCACTTCATTTTTCGAGGGCGGGGTATGCCATCCCTGGACAAATTGTCACGGTTCTTCGGGGAGCGGTCTTTATTAGGTCTTAGACTTCTTCCCGTTCTCGTTTCCTCGCTACTCGTGAATTCATGCCGAGGCGAGATCGACCTGGAGGTGCTCCTCCGGACGCAGGCGTGCAATCGCGCGACTCCGTCCGCGGGACGTTAACTTCGATTACGCGGTCGGCCTTGTTTATAGGGCCACTTACGCGGCCCGGGATCGAAAACGTGGGAAAACTCCGGAACGGCATGGAACTCCCTCCGAAAGGCCGCCATTTGCGGTAACCTCGCGTAATTACCTTGCGGCACTTCTCGCGATTACCTGATTCCCTACGTTGGCCGGGCGGGTAGACGCGGAAAGCCGCTTCCGCGTCTTAGAGCCCGCGCGACGCCTCGCTCGAAATAATCGCTTTAATCGGAAGAGAGGGCCGGGGCCGAGCTCGCGGAAATCAATCGACCGTTTACGCGAGGAGCTGGGCCATTCGACGCTCGGTAATTTATCCGGACGGATCGACTCTTTCTTTATTTTTTATATTTTTTTTTCCCCGACTTTATCGCCTCCTCCTTCGCTTCCGATAACGCGCGACGACCCGATAACCGTATACCCCGACGGCGATACCGCGGCCGTGCCGGGTAACGGTCGAGAGGGCCCGTTTTCCCCGAGTTTTCCTCGGGTTTTCCCCGGTTTAAATGGCCGGCCACGGTCCCGAGAGTCGTCCTTATCGCGCTATCACCGCCGCTTTCGATCGGCGCATTAACGCTCGGGGATCAACCCGGTCGCGAGCTCTCCACGACCTTCGATTTCCACCGCGTGTCCCGATCCTCTTTCCAGGATGCGGATTATGGCTCGGGCCTCGGTTTATCGGGGAGATTTTTCCGGGAATGGAGGGAGGAAACGCGGATCGCCCCCGGCGGAGGTTTCGAGGCTTCTCCGTCCGCGGCGCGAAACGATCCACTGGTTTATCGGGTCGCTTGGAAATATTGTCGCAACGGGGTACCCGCGGCACACCGGAGATACGAGGGGTTATTAATTCGCCCCGCGGACTCTTTTATCGTCCCGTGAATAAGCGCGGCCGCGAATTCATTATCCTGTCTCCGCAACTCGCGGGAAGTCCCGAAGCGGCCCGGCTTCTGGGGGCGATTTAGGGGAGCTTTTTGGCAACCGGGAAACGCTTCGCAGGGGATCGATCTTTCCGACCCTGGGAACTCGTGCCGGTTCCTCCGGACTTCCCTTTTTCCCGCCTGGGAGATATACCGACGTATACGTTACACGTGCTCCGGTCTAAAGACTTTATCCTCGACGCCTTGACGATCTTCCAGGGGGTGACTGGATCGCTTTTCTATTTTCGGGGTCGACGGGTGGAAGGTTTAAAAATCGATACGATTTAGCTGCGAGACTTGATTCATTCGCGTTATCGTTAGTCGGGGTTTCGCAATTTAATGGAATCCCTTTGTAATGTGTTCCGTGGTTCTTGTAACTGACGACGGTCGATGGATTTTCCAGGGTGTCGGCGCGTCCCCGGGCCAGCCGGTGGGGCCGTGGGCGCGTGGGAAGATGTGACGCGATGTCCGGAGCCTGCGCCGTCGAGGACGAGGACGCCGAGGATGTGGAGAGCAACGCCGGGGCGAACTCATCAGCGGCTGGTCGCGAACTCCTGGAAGGACTGCGGTTAGGGCCCTTGCGGGACGCCCTGCGTCGCCGCGGGACCCCGGAGGCCACCTCGGGCCCCCTCGACGCCCCGGGAGGTACCCCGGAACTCGTGCCCTCCGACCGGTAGGCAGGTGCTCGCGCAGAAGGTGCCGGGGGGAATGCTCTCGGGGACCTCGGGCCTCGCGAGGTCGACCTCGAGGAGGTGACGACCGGTCCTCGGTCGGTGCGATCGCCGCTTACCCCGCGGCCCCAGGACTTGGGACGGTTTCTCGGGGGTCTCGGGGGCGCCGGGGCGATGCCGGGCTGCCAGGGGACGACCGACGTCGCGGCGCCCGGCTCGAGGAGGTCCTAAGGCCGCCCCGGGACAGCGACTCGCCGAGCCCAGGGAGAAAGGATGCCAGGCGGGCGCAGGGGCCTGGTAGCCCCGCAAAACACCTTCCTCGAGAACATCATTCGGAGGAGCAGCAGCCAGCGTGAGTACCCTCCTGCATGAATTCACTTGTCATTTCGTCTTCGATACCGATAAGAAAAAAAAAAAAAAATCATTGCGCAGCGCGCGCATTAGAAGGGCGAAAGCTCTTAATCACTCCTTTGCGAAATGCCATTATACGCTCTTACGCGGGCGGTATGATTTTCCCATTTATTTACATTATTCCTATTTTTACATTCGGAAGTGGCGTATAAAATTAAAAAAAAAAAAAGCCTTCGTGGCGTATAAAATTACACCCACTATCGTGCCACGAGCAGCTTCACCGTAAAAATTCAGAGGACCCCCCCACTTTCATGACCACGCTTACGGGGGGACCCAATGCGACCCGATTTCTCGAAGTACCCCAACAGGTGAACTCCCTTGGTGGATTCTTCTCCGTGACATCGGGTGCCGACCTCGCTCGTGACCCGGGAAGATCCCTCCGAATTCTGACGTCCCTCTCGCGAGAACGCGGCGCTTCCGGCGCGGAGGAATCGCGTGACGGGCTCCATCGGCGCCCAGGTGCGCCCACCTGTACGTAGGACCGACGTCGCCGTAGATGGGCCGGTTTCGTTTCATCGGGCCATTGCGTCCCGTGGGGTGAATCCGCGTCTCCTGTCACGTCGTGGCGCCCGCCACCCTCTACGACGACCTAATGCCGCGGGGGTGATAGCGCGATATTATCTGCGCGTGCCAAGCACCGAACGGAACCGGTGCTTCGGCCTAGGAAATTTCCGGTTCCCTTCAGGGGATGTCTCGCTCTCTCCGACGTAAATCAGATCTTTCGATGACTCTCGTCCAAGCCACCGATTAAATTTTCCGGACGACCCGCGAGTCGGGGATAACCCTTCCCAGGGGAGGGTCTCCCTCATTAAGTGGAGGACCACCCTTCCCGTCCCGGCACTCCTGTGTCCGGATTCTCGTGCATCGACACCTTACGCTTCTCCACGGTGCGAGTTTTCTTTTTTTTTTTTTCTGGTTTCGTCGAGATTCCAGGGAAACAGGGACGATTCGCGTGGAAATCCCGGAAAATCGTTGGAGAGATCACCGAAACGTGGTTACGAGGTTAAGGCCGATCGTCAATTGTTATCGAGTCATAGGTGCTGTTTATCGGATGAAATCAAAGGCAATCGGTTCTCGGGGTAGGAAAACGTTTTTCTAGATTTTCAAGGGAATTCCCAGGGGAAAGGGGTGAGCCGGTCGTGCCTAAGGGTCGTTAGTGTCTTCGCGTTCTCAGGATCTCAGGGCCGAGTCTCGGTATCTTTTCGCCCCTTCGGTGGAATCTCGGTGGTGGGCCAATGCGCTCCGCTTCTAACCTACCACTTTTCCCCGGAAAGGCGAGACAAAGCGCTCTTTGAACTCGCCTTCCAGCCGGGTTTGCCCGATCGCGACTAACTGCCACGAAAACCGGGACGCCCCGGCGCGATTGTCCTCCGCTGAGGGACAATGCGGATCTCTCGTGTCTTCGTGGAGTCGGCTTCCGTGGATGGTGCTCCCTGATTATTTCATACCACTTTCCCGGGGGCATACTCCTACCCGGGAAAAAAATTCCACTATCTCGTCCACTCGGTCGTTCTCGAGGCGGTATCTCGAGCGGGACGAGACCGACCTCCGAATTAGGGAAGGAAAAATGTACCAAGTGAATTAAGATTATTGGATCAGCCCCGGGGAGGGGACCTTCGTTTCGGGGCCCGAAGAGACGGACGGATGGGTAACTCGATCGACCGCAACGCCCCCCCGAGTAATGCACGAATAATTGCCCGAGTAAGCAATTTTCCCCCGGTTTAATCGAATCCTTTACGGGGCCGGGAATGGAACAATTGACCCGGCGGAAAGTGAACCCCTCTCATTTACCTCCGACATGGCGGCGTTCGGCCGATCGACTCCCTTTTTTTCCCCTCCCTCGGGGCCGTTTATCCTTCCATCTTCTTTCCCGATTATTTCGAGCCTGGAAAGCGATCGCGGGGCACCCGATTGGGTGATCTCTTTATCGAGGACCGGCCGCGACCGCGACTCCCACGTCTCGATGCCGGCGTCCCTCGATTATGCTAATTTCCTGGCCGACCTCCCGAAACATCGCGTTGACTGACCTCCTTCCGGGAAGCTGGCTCCCGCGAGGGTCCTTTCGTCGGGGCCGGAGACTCGCCGGGATTTTCCTACGCTTTTCTTTTTTTTTCCCCCCGCAGGCTTTTCCTCGGCGATCCGACTTCCGTCGAACGAATCCACCGACGGCGGACGGTGGGCGGGATGCATTGTCGGGAGACTCTCGTAAATTTGGCTCCGTAAGGAGGTCCCTGGACCGAGGGGGGAGGAAACGCCACCCCGCGGATAATGAAATCCGGATCGAAGGAAAACACGCCGGAATTCCTGCGGGATTCCTCGAGACCGTCCGTCCGCTCGTCGAGAAGGAAATATCTCTGAGACACTAATTAACAGAGTTTTTTTTTTTTCCACGCGGATAGAGTTAACTGGAATGCGCGAGAGCACTCTCCGGATTTTTCTTCAATTATTTGGTTTGGGGGTTTTTTATTTTTCCCCCTATCCAGGTTTCACCCGATTTTGGGAAGCCCTCATGAATAACGCCTTTCGACGAGTGCCGCGGCGGTCCCTCGGCAGGAATAAATCGTCGCGTACCCTCCACTTTCGACCCGCGGTTAGGTTATGTCACGAGGTTGTACACGGGGGTGCACCTAGGTACACGCAATGCCCCCCGGCTCTCCTTTTCGGGATGCGGCGGCGCTTTGCGGACGGCATAGAGGTCGGCGCACCGCATCCTCGGAAAACCCGTTGGCGGTCCCGCCAAAGGGAAATGCGGCGAGAATCCCGCGTCCCGGTCAAGCGAATGTCCCCTGAAACTCCCCCGCGAGGGGGTTGAACCGTCCCAGTTCCCCGGAAACCCCTTGGCACGCTCCCATAAGGAACTTTGCGACTTCCCTCCCTCTCGTGAAACCTGCGCGCCGATAAGAATAGATTTCCCAAGGCAGATTTTCCGTCACTCCGATATAATTCCAGTTAATCCGATTCCTCGCGTTTTCCGTGAGTATGTTATTTGAGTCAGGTGATGCGCGGGGGGGGGGAGAGGAAATTACGATATCACCGAATAATTACGGTGCTCGTTAGGCGGGCGATTACGTATCCCTTGCACGCGGCCCGATCCGTCGGCGGCGTCGCCGGCCGATTTATAAACTCCGCACCCGGAGTTTCCGTGACTATTGAATACGGCCGAGTAATTCGCAGCCGGGGGCAATTTAGCCCGGCAGTAAGTACTCCTTACGAGATTAATAGTACGCACGTGTACGGAATGCAGGACCAGTTGCATTTCCGGGTCCGCGAGACCCTTTCCGCGGTTCGGTGGAGGCGCCGGAAACGCGACCCCCCGTTCCCTCCCTTCGTCCGACGGAGTTTGCGATTTAATGAAATTGTTCCCTGAAACAGGGGGGAAGTACCCTACGCGGCATGGGGTGCAAAGTCGACGGTATGAATATTAATTTTTCCTTGTTTCCTGCGGGGAGGGTAAAGGACCCTCCGGGAGAGATCGGCCCACCTTCTCTCTTTTCCCCGGCGAGATTTCGAGGGAATCCGGGATACCGCGACTTCGGGGTAGGTAACGAGATTCCCCTCGACTAAGGGTCAACGGAAGGGCTCGGACCCTGGGCCAGGAGGAAGGGCGCCATGGGCGAGGTCCTTGGCCTCGACGCGCCGGCCGTAGACCGGCCGAGCTCGCATCGTCCCGCGATACGTCAAAGAGCGACGGAGCGAGACGTAGCGTCCCGTCACGGGAGGGAGAAGGAGGGAGGACTCGTTCCGAGGGGTGGGACAGCGGCCTAGTCGCGATGGACGGAGCTGCACGAGTCGGCGTAGGTGTTGGTCCGTATCGGTGTGGTGGTCGAGGGGGTGGAGGAGGGTGAAGGGGGGAGGGAGGGTGCCGAGGGCCGGCGAAGTAGGGGTCGGTATTTTCGATCAGACTCGAGTCCGCAGAGCGGCGGACCGGAGAGAGAGAGAGAGAAACCGGAGAGGGACCGGAACGCGCGCGCCGCGCCGGTCGGGCGTTTCCGCGCGGATTCGGCCGCTTCCGCTGGGTCATTGGGTCAAATTCACAGGGCATGGGGGTCAGAGCCGGTGTTACATGGGGCAGGACGTTGTATGCGCTTCATAATGCAAACTTTACCCCCCCCCCACACCCGCCAGGGGGGCTCCGCGCCCCGCCGACTTGCGCACCGACGACACCCCCTTCTGGGCGCCCTGCTATTTTTAGACCTTCAGCGTCGAGTCGCAGGCTCCCTTATCGCTCGTTTGGACTTCGGCTCGGTCGAATACGTGCGGAGGCCGCGACCGCCGACGGAGACGCTCTGCGGCCTCCGTGCGTCGCGCCGAGGCGGGCGAGGCTCTTGGGACGCGCTTTCCTAGGTGATAAGACACGCGGTTAGACCGGACCGGGTCGTCCGGGTCGCTTCTGCGCAAGTATGTGACACCGGTCTTAGTCGGCCGCGTCGCGGGGCGTCGGGGCGCTTTTGCGGTATCAGCTGGCCGCACCGCAATCGGTCGCCCATGCAGGGCGGTCGTGTGGGGGACTCCTGGGAGTCGTTTTGCTCATTCCTTGAAGACGCTTTCGCGAGATATCGCCTCTCGTACTCTGGATGTCCTTTCGCTGTGTCGGAATCTCCGGGGGCGGGATTTCATTTTCACTCGGGTCCTCTCGAGCCGACTCGCCGAAATTGCTCGCACGAGCGTCCTCGAGCACCCCCGCGTCGCCTTACCCCCTGGGGGACGAATGGGAGCACTCGATCGGCCCTCGGAAGTTCTTCGCGACAAAGTCCGTTGGTTCGAGCGGTGCAGCCCCCGGTGCGACCGAAGGCTCCACTCGAAATGGGCCACCGCCTAGATTCCTATACCTTCTCCGGGAATTTTAACCTCGATCGGAATTACATCCCCCGATTACGTCCTTTGGCTCGACGCCTCTCAGAAAGTGATAAAAAATAGGAAGGGGGGGGCTGGAACCGGAAA